ACCTCAAGTAATGAATGCTGATCACTGGAACAGTAGAAAACTAAAGGCAGATTATAAAATAGGCGATTGGAAGGATGATGAGTGGCCCCCATAACGAATAATCCATTACTATAGGCCGGCTACTTGGGTGGCTGACGGCACCTGGAGGTACCGTACCCCAATTTACATGCTAAATCGCATTATTAGACTCCAAGCAGTTGTAGAACTAATTGCCAATGAAACAGCTCAGTCTTTGCGCACCCTAGCAATTCAACAGAAGAAATTTAGGGATGCTATATATCAGAATCGCCTAGCCTTGGATTATCTCCTGGCAGCTGAAGGAGGTGTGTGTGGTAAGTTCAATTTCACCAACTGTTGCTTAGAATTTGATGATATTGGTGAAATAATTGAGCAACACGCTAGATGTGTAGAAAATCTAGCACATGTACTTGTACAAAAGTGGAATGCGTTTGACCTTGGAGATATTTTCGGGACCTGGTTTCCAAAATTACCTGGCTTGCAAGCTATAGTTGCACTTGTTGGTATGATTGCTGCAGGATGTGTAATTTTACCATGTATCCTCCCTATCTTTGTCAAGACAATCTCAAATAGTCTTTCTATGCCAGTAGAGAAAAGGGCTACTGCTAGGGCTATGGCCCTATGGGTAAATGAGCAGGTGAATACTTATGAAGAACTTGCCCCTTTGTGTGAAACTGCACAGTAATCAATAGATTTGGGTGTAGTTTCAAAGAGGGGAATGAAGCAGTACGAAAATTACACATAAAGCACTTTTATATTTAGTAGAAGTCCCCCAATTCCCCAAAGCTTTGCTTAATACAATATTGTGTAAAGCCTCAAGGTTAATGAACCAAGGAACTAACCATATTACAGTAAACAAGGGTGGATATGGAAAATAACAGATGGTGTAAGATAAAATGAGTAATTATATGTACTTCTCTTTTCCTGGTATATATGTTATTCTCCTTTTATGGTATAGTTTAATAAAAGTAACGCCCCGGGCTAAGCTGAGGTCATGACATGTATAAAAGTGATGCCTCAGGAAGAGCCAGGGGTTCAGAATTTGCCATGCCAATGCTCTGAACCTTTTGCGCAAATAAAAAACCTGCATTCTCCAACCTTTCGTGGTCTTGTGTCCTGATTTGTAAGCAAGATTTGCTGCTACACAACCAATCAGAAAGTAATGTTGAAGGTTTGCTCCCCCCCATCTTTCCAACAAGACTGCATTTAAATTAAAATGGTCTAGGCTAGACAAGTATAGTAAGCCAAGGGAAGGGAATCTTTCCATCCAATTTGTATATTCTAAGACCATGGACAGATTTGAATAAAAAAAAAATTATTATTAAAAGAAAATATTTTATTATTCATAAAATCCACATTGCTTTTATGTGGCAAGACAAACTCATTTACTTGCCAGGGTACTGTTCAGGCATGCCCCTTTCTTTCTGAAGCCCAGGGATGAGGCTTAATATCTTCAGCAGGATTTTATAGGCTAAACATCAGCCCAAAATCACCTATTATCCTATTCTAATGATACAGTTTAGTCTGACTTAGAGCCAAACGTAATCCTATATCACACACACACACACACACACACTTGCCTTTATGTACACTGAGAACATATGCACAAGAGACAAATTCCTTGTATGTCCAATCACACTTGGCCAACAAAGAATTCTATTCCATTCTATTCCATTCCATTCCATTCTATTCTATTCTATTCTACTCTATTCTACTCTACTAAATAAGCAAAAGACATTTATGATTATTTTGTTTTGTTTTCTGGCTGCATTATTATCTGCTTTTGTGAGAAACGTTCTGCTGCTTGCCTGAAACCATGATACATATGGAAGATTTGTAGGTTTTCTTTGTGAGATGAACTTGTGTTGTGTGAACAAATGGCCACAATTCCACCACATAGTTATTAAAATAATGGGACAATATGAGACTGCTGCTCTTTGGATCTGTGTTAGGAAAACCATAAATTAGGCGTAGAAATTTCCCGAAAATTCATTGCTTGAGGGAGACAAACTTGGTTCATATTTGGCTCCTACGCTTGACAAAAAGAGATGTCTCATTCTTTGGGTATTTGTTTTTTGGAAACCAAGTAAACATGCCTGGTCTAGACACTGCCGCAGAGCTGGGACTGACAGCATTTGTTAAAATTTCTTTGGGAAGATCTCGGCTAAGATAGCAAAAACCAAAGACTAAACTCTCAAAGGAAGCTAATGGTGTCATGCAATTTACAATGCCCATGGATGTTTGAAGGTCTTCTTTATCAAGAATAGCTATTGGGGATTCAGGTTTTGATCCTCAAATCCATGTTCAAAGAGCCATGTTTTTTAAAGTTTCCTGAAATAAAGATATGATTCTTGTATCTCATGGGAGGGCCTTCTACAGATGGGGAGCTCCTAAAGAGAATGCTCCTCTTCAAGTCTTCTCTCATTGAACATCTCATATGGACAAGGACTCTCAGCTGACACTCTCCACAGGGCCATCTTGGGAAAGCAGATTCTATTTGGATTACATCGTCTCAAGGATGACCTAGCTCCAAGCAACAATGGTCACCAGGGCTTTGAACTGTAAACAGAAACAAACCATAACTAAACTTCTCCTTTTAGGTTTGCCCCAGCCAAATGCAAGCCTCTAACACTAGTTACAACTCTTACAAGGTCCTACTTGGCCTTTAAGGCCAGTCCCAGGTACAGGACAGTAGTGCACCCATATAATAAAAGTCACTTCTCTGCTCTAGGGATGGTATACCAACCCTCCTGGCCAAATGCCACTTCCTATTTCTAGCAGGAGATATAGTCCAAGAATGTTGCTTGAGCACTAGGTCTTTCTAGAGGAGCACAACTCCATCCAGAGTTAATATTGTCCCCAAGTCAATTGATTACTGCATCTTCATCTTCCTAGAATCTACCTCTTTCTTCCCATCTAGATCTTTATAGTTTTCAGACTTTGAGATTTCCATTAATCTCCTGGGCACCCTAGGGTAAAAATGTATCAATGGGTATTACTGATGATACTGGTACCTAAACTGCTGGGTGAGGATTTTGTTTCTCACAAAGAAGCCTCACCATATATCATCAATGACAGTAACCAATGCAGTTTTATGTCTGTGCCTGAACCCTGACTGAAAAAGATGAAGATACTCTACTTCTTCTGTATCTTTTTGCATCAGTCAGCTCATCTTCTTCTTTACTTCCTCTTTTACCGCTTCGGGTGGCGATGGAGATACCAAGTTCTGGTTCTTGCTCTTCTGGCAGCCTCAATCATTGTAAATTCATGTTGTATTGTGCCGTTGATTTTGTCTCTCCATCTTCTTTTCGGTCTGCCTTGTCAAATGTTCTTTGACCTTCTCTTTTGGTGTATGCCTTGTATAGTATGGAACGACATAATTTCCTCATAGTATTTCCCTAAAGGAGCAGATTAGAGGCCTGGCAAGTTGTCCAATGACTAGATTTAAGGAAAAGTCACACTAATTTCTTCAACTGCATCACTACCTGTCCTTCTCATAATGAGATAAATCTAACTGGTCCCATCACTCTATGGAGGTTTGTAGTACCAGTCAATCTGTAATCACTAGAAAGAGATTTGTCCATGAAAAAGGTGAAATTCTTATATCTCCTACTACCAGACCATATTTCAACCATTCTGTGGTGTAAAATAAGTTTAATGTGTAGCCTCTTTTGCGTATTAGGTGTATGATGATTTGGGGAAAACCATGCTTGTTATGAAATCCTGAATAGCCTAAGTAGCCCAGGCAGAATAAATAGAAATCACCCAGTACTATCAACCTAGACGTCTCACCTAAATCACCTTTCAACTAACTAGGTTGTTCTAATTATAATTCAAATCATATAATTGGAAGCTGAAAGACTTAAATTTTTCATTGTTTATAAACACTAACTATAGAAAAAAACTCAGAGTTGTCATCAAGAACATCAACAGGCTGAAATAATTGGCAACGAAGAAGGTAATGTTTTATATAAGAAGTTGATACAGGAAGCAGCATGGCTTGATGCTGGCTCTTCATTTGTAAGGCACTGCATTGAAAAACATGGCGTACTGTTCTTGAGGTTAAACAAAAGCTAGTGAATTATGTGAGAACCATTTTCTGTATTACATGGATAATACTTAAGTTAATATTTGCAAATATTAAGTGGAAACAATTATGGACAGTTTAGAACATAATACCAAGGCACACCCTTTACAAAGCAATTCTAAAGTCATTTCTCCAAAATGAGAGATGAACAGAGTATTTTTACACGGCACATTTACCACTGTTTAATTTAAACCAAGATTTGTGCAATTAACTATTTTGGGGTTTGCGTGAGAGATTGAATCATCAACTAAGCACCAGGGCTGGGGGCCATCACACAAGACAAAATGAGATTCAATGATGTCTATGAAGATTCTCAATCATCCAGGTCATGGTTGCCCCAAAGGTGCTTTTTACAATCAGAGCTGAAGAAACTTCTTGGATGAGAAGTGAACATCTTCAAAGAAAAACAAGGAAGTTCTCTTGAAGGTCTTCCAAGAAAAACAAGGAAGTCCAGTTGCCTCTTGAAAAAAACACCTTGGCGATTCAGTGATCTTTGTCCTACTGGCTACTACTGTACTGCTGATTTCCAGCAAACCAGCCAGCCACAATTTTAACCTCAGGTACTGGGTGAACGGTGAACCCAGACCAAAGGTTAACTACTAGCTCAATTGTGATGTAAGTCCGCCTAGACCACCAGGCCAAGCCGACCAGCAACTTCAGCTTCTGTCCATTTCTCTCCCGCACAACCTACGCGGGCACACGCGAGTCCTTTTAGCTGAAGAAATAGCAAGAGGGGCGGGTAACCTCTCTTTCTCGGGGCCCACCGCCGCACACAGCCGCCTTGTTTACAAACGTTTCGATGCTTTTCCCCGCCTAAAACCTAGGCGTCGCCATAAGGACGCCACCGGGCGGGCTCACAAGTGACTGGCCTTCCGGCAGGATGAACCTTCTCCGATCGGCTGAAGGTTGTCCCAGGCGGGGCCGATGAGAAACCAGCTCGGGGGGGGTGGCGAAGCGAAAAAGGCGGAGTCTGACCGGCAGAGACCTCATCTCCGGAGGGATGCCAGAACCAGTCAGAAGGGCGCAGGCCGGGCTCCGCTGTTTAGCGCCCGGTGTGGGGGGTGTAGCTCTTTCTCCGCCGGCCGTCCTTTGTGCCCGTAGCCGCTATGCGGGATTACGACGACATCATCGCCTTCCTGGGCGAGTGGGGCCCCTACCAGCGGCTCATCTTCTTCTTGCTCAGCGCCAGCATCATCCCCAATGGCTTCAACGGCATGTCCGCCGTTTTCCTGGCCGGCACCCCCGAGCACCGGTGCCGGGTGCCCGCCAGCGCCAACCTGAGCGCGGAATGGTTGAACGCCAGCATCCCGCTGGAGGAGCGCGACGGGCAGCAGGTGCGGAGCCAGTGCAGCCGCTACAGCCTCGACGCTCTCATCAATTTCTCTGCCTGGAACCTGGTGCCCGGGCGCGATGTCAACCTCAGCCAGGTGAAGCAGGAGAAATGCCTGGATGGCTGGGAGTATAGCCAGGAGGTTTATCTTTCCACCATCGTCACGGAGGTAAGCGAGTCGCCCGATGCTTCGGGGCAGGGATGGCGGGGAGAGGAACCGGAGGTCGCGGCCCGCCTGTGTTGTTCCGGGGTTGGGCTGCAAGGCATCGGAGAGGTGGGCAGCAGGCTGGCGAGCGCGGACCGGAAAAAGCGGCGAGAGAGATGCAGATAGGGCCATGTGAAAATAGGAAACCGCCGAGGCAGAAAATGGAGTAGGTAAGGGCCGGGGAGTAAAGGTGAAGTGGGGGGGGGCTTTACTGGGACCATGTTGTTGCGAGGCTTTCCCAGCAAGAGGTTGTATGTCTCTGTCTCCAAAAAGGACCACTTGGGCTTCTTTTTTTTTTTTTGCAAGGCAGACAGACAGAGACATAGACAGAGAACGCATGGTTTGTTGCCCGGAGTGTGTGTGTAAGAACACGTGGCCCGCCTGCGATCGCGTAGCTACAGTGATGGTGGTTTTGACTTTGGCGGCCCCGATTAATTATTGCCAATTTCTCTGGAAAAGGGAAGGGTTTCGGAGCTGAGCCTTTGCGAGATCCTTCCTTAACAGAACGTCCTTCTGGCGATTTGGAAAAGTCCTCTTCGTTAGAGGCGTTTTTGTTCTGGCATCGCTCGGCGTTTTTTAAAATTTTGTCACGGGTTTTTTTCCCCCTCTGTCGCTCCTCTTTCAGGAATAGTGGATTTGGAAATAGCGATGCCTTGTAATGCCTGTGAAGTAACTGGACATTAGCGATTTGTGATATTCTGTGAGTGCATGATGAAGCCTGTCTGAAAAAATGTATAGGATATTATCCGTCATAATGTTGGCAGATTGATGTTATACAATAATACCCGCGTTTCTATTTACTTGGGCATTGAAAATCTTAACCTTATTGCAACTAGCATTTTCCCATTCAGTCGTACATATATGAGCAGGACTACATGATGCTTTTGTATATAGTATACATTTATGAACAGATGCTACTTATTCACACGCACAAACAGAAAAATAATCAACCATAGATCCAGAGACCATCAACTTCATAAATTTCCAGATGAACGGAGAAGTCTTAACCTTAACAAAGATATGCCAATTGTCGAAGGGCCTTTTCACAATTGACCGCTGTTATTTCTAATGTTATTTCTTGGTCTGCAGGGAGAATCACCAGTGTCAAAACAGCAGTATGACTGGATACTTGCACTTCACCTCTTTTTAACATGCATCAATCTGTTATGCTTGCCATTTCAAAGTGGTTGGCTCTTACATACCCCAGGAACATTCTTGGTTAGGGCCATTAAATGGACACAACATTGTTCTACGTCCCATTTAAAGTAGAGTAGGGTTGTCAAACTCAATTTCATTGAGGTTCATCAGGGTTCTCTTTGACTTGCGGGGGGCATGGCCAGGGGGCATGGCAGGCTTGACTCACTCATGTTGGGAGCACCTGTGGTGGCCAGAGCACTCTGACAGCTCCATTTTCAGCTGCGACGGCCTCCTGCAACTCTCTGACAGCAAAAATGGAGCTTGGGAGGGCTCCATGCGGCCTTCGTGAGATCCGTTTTCACTGGCAGATGCACTGCAGGCTGGTCTTTGCTATGTCCAGGGCGGCCCTGCAGGCCAGATCTAAGCACCCCACAGGCCAGCTCTGGCCCCTGGGCCTTGAGTTTGACACCCCTGAAGTAGAGCATTAGTATTTGACATGAAAAGGTTGACAGCAATTATCCTTATGCTAACCAAATGCATTTCAGTATTTTGAGTTTCTTTATATTCTTATTTATCGGACCATGACTTAAATAGAGAAAAGAAGTTACACTGATGTAAGATGTAGTAACAGGTAGCAACAGAGTGGGAACTTTGGCTGTTTGCAGAAGTTAAATAGTTAAATAGACGTTAGAAGTTAAATGGTTTAGTTATTACTTGCATGGGAGATAATCTGGGAATTCTAGGTCTGAAAAATCAAAATACATGCCCGAAAGGGGCAGTGACTAATCTTTTCTGTCATTCTGCCAAGATAATGTCATAAGTATAGTTGCCAAGGGTTGAGCTCAACTTGAGAGCTTTGTAGGATGTGTTGAAAAGTGTAGGGGAGGAAAAATTCAAATGATTGTTTATTCCTATTCTGCGTTGTCTTAACACATACAGGCTGATAGGGGGAAGGATTATCATTTAAATTTCACAATATACTGTTCTGGGGAAAAATGATTGAAAATCATACCTTGGTCAGATCTTATGGAAGTTTGCTTGGCAGGCAGTATCCAGCACTACTACCACCTTCAGCTGCTCTTGAGGTGTTGTACATGGTCTTGAGTTGCCATTGTCTCCCATGGCTGTCTGGAACAATAAAACAGTACTGAGTTTTGTTCTGATGGACACAGCCAACTCTAAACGTTTTAACAACCTGTTGTTTCTTCATCATCATATAAAATAAATTATTAGTTTGAAATATATCCATACTATTTACTTACCTTGCCCATTGCTATTTTGTTGGATTTGTTGTACATGGCAGATTTCTGGGAGAGAAACTCACTCTGATTACTTCCCTAAAAACCAGAAAAGTGATCTAAAACTTTTTTAAAAAGTTTTAAAAGAACAGAAATGTCTCTAGGAGGTAAACCATTGCTATTAACATCCTTGTTCTCACTCACCTCCAAGGCACCTTTGTGCAAACTTTTTTTTTTTGCCACTAGAGTATCAAATCATATCATAAGGCAGCTTTGTCTTCGCAGCATTTCTTTCTACATTTTCTTCTATAGCGCATGTGCACACATGTGAAGTTGTAACTGGATGGGTTTCTCTGCAACGGTACTGTTCCCAACATTTGGCCCTTGTTTCATGACATCTTGCATACCTGTTTACAGTAGTCATGCCTGTTTACAGTGTTCTTGCTAAATCTACCTAAAATGGGCTGAAATTCATTGGTGTGATTTCAAGGTGTCTAGGGTCATAAATGGAATCTGATTATATCTGTATGCAGGCCCACATGTTCCTCCCACTATTACAGTAAGCCAGGTAGTCCTAGTTTGAGAATTCGGGTTTTGTACGGTAGGTAGTTCTGTTCCCCAGCTCTTAGATCATACACTGATGAATATATAAATTGTCATCCTGCAGAGCACTATATCTTGGTAAGTTAATAAGAGGTGGCATGGTACAACCACAACACTTCCATCTTCATAATTATGTTTTTAAAGCTTTTTCACAGTAGACATTCCTAGAGAGAATATAATGGGACTTTAAAGATTCCGGATTGGATCAATGGAGATGCTGCCAAGTTTCTTCAGGGTCTTATTCCTATACAAGGGGAAACAATGATGGGTACAGATCTGCAGTAGATATATCTTCACTGGTGTACAAATTGACAAAGATATCAGAAGCATTGATGTTATCTTGTTCTGTGTAGGAAGAAGGCACTTGGTTAAAGTCAATATATATATGTGCTGTTTGTCAAGTGTTTGATCAGAATGAAGTAGGTATCATCTAATAAATGCAACCGTTGATGATTCAGTAACTTCTATTCTGGTGTTTTAATGTAAAATTTATGGGCTTAATTGATAAGAGACTTTTTAAATCCACCTCTACACCAAAAGTAACGTTGGATCTGGCTTGTTTTCTAAGTTGTCATTCGCTATCTGAAGACTTCCAAAGCAAGTTAATCTCTTATATACTGTGTGCATTGTCACAAGGAATCAAGGAGTCTATTTTTTATTTGTTCTGACCTAATTTTGATTATGACTTGTAAATATTTCAGTAACTTTGAACATAAAGATACAAATACAAATAAAAGCATATAGATTTCTAGTCCACAGCTATCCCTATAGTCAGAGGAGAAGCTGCAGGTACAATTTCTCCTGACATCAGAGATCCCAACTGTAATTTCACTATATGGAATTCCAAATAGTGATGATAATAATGGAAAAAACTATCACAAAAATAAATTTGTTTTTGCTTTATTTATAAGATTTGCATTTCTGCCACCTTCCGGACGTCTCACAACAACAATATAAACCCTGAACTATAAAAACAATAACATTGTTAAACACAACCAAAGCCTAGTACCTCAGTAATTCTCTTGTGGCGCCTCAGCAACCAGCACCAATGACACTCACTCTACCCGAGCACCTAGTTAAAAAACCAAGGCTTGATGGCTTTTTTGAGGACTATAAGAGTGAGAGCTGGTGGATTGCTCGTAGGAAGATATTCCATGAGTAAAAGGAGTCCCATAAAAGTCCTGCTTTAGAGGTCTGATGAGATGGCGACATTTTAGGGAGGAGACCTGGAGCTTGCCTACCCTATCCAATCTGATAACCTGATTCCATGCCTGATAGAGCTTTAAAGCTGATAATTAGCATTTTGAATTACATTGAAATTAATAGCTAAATATATGTCAACCTTTCAAGGTACATCAGGTCAGCAGATTGTAATAGAATCATGAAACCTATCAGAATTTCTCTCTGCTTGATATATCAAAGATCATCAAGGCAGGGTAACCTTGAGTTTCTTTATTACCACCTCCTCTTTCTCTGGGTTGAGCTGGTATTTACATAATTACTCTCGTATTCCTTCTTCAAGGTTATGTCCACACTGTTCTATAGCTTTACAAATTTTTTTAAAAAGGTGACTGGAAACAATAACTCTAAAACATATCTATTATTTCTAGGATTCTCAAACAATCGCTTTTCAGTAAGATGGAGAAGAGGTAAACTAGTTACCAGCCTTAAGTGTACCTGTCCTCTTATAACACTCCTTCTAACGATAAAGAAAGCATTGGTCAGTTTTAGTACATTGGGCTAGTTTACCACAAACACAACCAAAACTCAGTTTTCACTCAAGAATGCAGGTAGTCCTTGACTTATAGCTGTTCATTTAACAATGGTCCAAAATTATGATGGTCACCCAAAACATGGCATTACTATCCCCACGGTCATGTATTCATGATCGGGATCCTTGGTAACCTGTTTGCACTTGGCACTGGCTGCCAAATGCCCTGGAATCATGTGATCGCCATTTGCAATCTTTTCTGCCAGCTTCCCTAG